GTTGCCCAGAGCCTGGTCCACACTGGCCTTGAGTATCTCCAGGGACAGGGTGTCCACCGCAGCTCCAGCTCTTTGGTATTCTGCTATCTGTGTGGTTACAGCAGTTTAAAGTCTTGGAGATGTGAACCAGGCTTGTTGGAGACTTATGCCTGATGTAATGAGACAAATCAGTCAACTAGCCAGATACAGAAACAGAACAGAAATGAAAATGCTAGCAATGCTAAAAATGTAAAAATGCTCAATATAACATGAAATGCTGGTTCAAATGTAAGTCTCTTGTAAACTCTTTAATCTATAGAAATAAACTCTTTATTCTAATCTAGACTAGTTAATCTAGTGTAAGCTTTTTACTGTCCAGTTTATCTGTCCCTCTGAGTCTTGCAGAGTTGCCTGTTCTTTCCAATCACACCTTTTGCCACTTTGGGGGTACAACATTTATGCAGAACACATGCATCTCAAAAGTGGTGTGAATCTGGGAAAAATAAATGATCACAGGATGTGGGTGGGAGGCTGACTTGTCTTTCCCAGCAGAATAATTACTTGTGAGAAAATATTCCCCACATGTGTTCTGGCAAATGTTGAAAAACAGATGTCCTAAGTTTGAGATTCTCCCACTGAAATTGAGCAGTATTTTATTGCAGGTTAGTCTCTCACTTTATAGGTTGCTCTGGCTTAAAAGCATCCTCTATTATGTTGCTTCAGAAAGAGACCAAAGGGAAAATCACTGTGATGCAAGAAGCCAAAACCTCTCCTTCTTGTCTGTGGAAGTGAAGGGCTGTTGACTTGTATCAGTCATTCTTAAGGAGCAGAAAACAGCATTAAGATTCTCTGCCTGAGGTCTGAGTGCTTCATCCCCATGGAGGAGGGAAGGTGCAACTCCATAGAGACAATGTGTACTTCTAGCTTACTCTGACTAGAAATGAAGGAATCACTCATAGCTGGTTTGGTCTTTTCTCAAATTTACACAACAAGAAAAAGCCTTCATCTCTCAGCAGCCTCCAGTGAACAATCGGATGGATTACTCATTCTGTAAGGCTTGTGTATATTAATGCTTAACCAAAGATGACAGAATTCAGTCTATGTAGAAGTTTTGACATGCCGTGTGGAAAATCTGCTCTTCTGATTCTGACAGCCATTAATTTTGCAGTGTAGTCTTTAATATTGCAGTGTGCACATTAATATCACTTTATTCATTAGGAGAAGGGCACAGCTGGAGCAGTCTGCAAGGGGCCAGCAGGTGACATATAGGATACACAAAAACATGGAACTAGATTAGGTAAGTCAGGCAACAGGCTGCTTTCTGGCTTATTTTTGAGTTAGGCTGAGGGATAATGAGTATTTGAAGATAATTTATAATGTCAGTGAAGTCACTTCTTGGTGGTGGTGGCAGTACAAGAATGGCCAGTGGCCATGTTCACAACTTAGGATGTCCATACTGAATATTACATCTTCTCTAGGGAGGTAATGCAGCAGAGCTGTAGGTTACCTAAGAATCTCTGAAAATTCTGTCCGTGAAGGTTTTTAAGATTTAGCAAGATAAGCCCATAGCTAACTTCATCTGGTAACCATTCTACTTTGAGCAATAGGTGGGATGAGGCATGGTCAGTTTGGACACTAATGAAGAAGGTACCAATCTTTTCTATGTCTCCAATCACTGCAATTCTGCTCTGTCAGCCATGTCTGCCCTGGCGCCACTCCTGTGCTCACCCTGGTGCAAACCAGAGAGCAGGGTAGGATCAGTGGGGAAGTGGTGGCTACTAATATATAATTGGTTCTTGCCCTGATACAGAAATGCTCTTCTCTCAGGCCACAGTGCCCTTAGTTATCTTCAGTGCTCATCAGATAGCATATAAAAAAATGATTATCAAGAGTTTTGGATGAAGAGTTCAAAATAGTGGATTGATAATCATGAACTTTGAGTAGCTTCTGGGATCTGCCCTCAGAGGAGCAGGGAGATCCCTGCTGTCACTGGAGCCACCAGCAGGATTTTAATAGCTGGAAAGGGAGTGGGGTGGACAGAACAAATGAAAGGATATGTTAATAAACAAGCTCAGTGCAGCTGCTCCTTCTGTAGATACAATCCTCCAGCATGGGATAGAGAGTTCCTTACACAATTAGCTTTAGTGAAAGTAGCTAGTGAAAGAGACAACACAGATTGTATCACTGTGTAAATTATTGAGTTGATGTTCTGGAGATAACAGAGAAAGCCCTTCTTTCTTCTGTCCTGAGGATAGCAGCTCTGAAAGACTATACGAGCTGCTTGAAAGTTGCACCTCCTGCAGACTCTGCTTAAATAATTAATTGCAATATTCATAAGGCAGAGGATATGTTTAATACATAGAAAAACAGGAGGATTGTATAAATATGTGCTGACTTAGCTGTGTTTCTTTCTGGCTGTGGGTGAAGATGTTGAATAAATAACAACAACAAAAAGGTGTTTTACTGTTTGTTTGAATAATATTTCTGAACAGTAGTTGTTGTCATTAGTGAATCACAGCCCTTCATGTCTGTAGATGCATAAAGAACAGTCTCCCTTGATATATTTTTTTCTTAGCATCTGCAATGGCACAGTGCATGCACAGCTGCAATGCAGCTGATACCACAAGCATCCCTCACCACATACAGAAGGGGAATGGAGGGCACTCTTCCCCAGAACTCACCTGATTTCAGGGGCTGATAGATTCTTTTTGTTGTGGATCAACATCCAGGCTGGCTTCCATTAGGACCTGTCCTCCAACGCACGTGTTTCCTCCTCCTAGCCCAGTGAGAATCACAGTCACAGTGGTAGGAAATGAAGCACTGCTGTGTGCGTCCACAGAGACCTCTGTCCAAATGAGCCTGCCTACTGCTTCAGAAGCAAAGCTTCACGTGCAGTCACCTCCCATACTGCTGGATTCAGCATTTTGAGTGGCATCCCTTTTCCCAGAGCACATCCTTGCCCATCAGACAAATCCTTGCCCAAGACCCCTCCCGCTTCTTGCAGCAGCACAGATGAGAGAGGCATATCTGGGGGCAGAGGAGACAGACAGAGGTGTGGGCTGAGATCTGCTGGGCACTTAAAATTATGAGTGGCTGGAAGCTTTCAGAAACAACAGTGTAGCCCATCTCCTTCTCTGTCCTCCAGGCTGGGATAAAAAAGAGAAGCAGCCACAGCTGTGTTTCCTGTAGCTGTTCTTCTGTGCAATTTTGTTTGATGAATATGCATATGCAACAGGTGGAAAACTTTTTGGAGAGAAACCAAACTCAAGCAAGAAGCTGTGTGCTAAACCCAGGGTGCTCTCCTTAGAGTCTCTGGAATTCAATTCAACTGAGTTGACAGAAATTAACTCAGGTCCACAGATCTGTGCGCACTGCAGTTCTAGCCACATCTTTATCTGAAACTGATACTATGATTCAATGATTCTATGATTCTATGGCAAGAACTTTGTCTGACAAGACCAATGTTTTAAGCTTGTTGAGACATCTGACAGTAAACGTGTCAAAGGGTTTGGTGCAAACTCAACTACAAGCCTACATTTGATCCTGAAGTATCCTTGAGGATGGGCTGCCAGTGCCCAGGCACTCTGGCTCTCTGCTGTAGAACTGTGGAGAGATTAAGAAGGTGTTTTTGAAAATGGAATATGTTATTCCATACAGACTTACATTTATTGTTTGTATTTACTAGTTTTTACTTTCAGGCCTCTGGATATATATTTTTGTAAGAGGTTAAAAGATAAAAAAAAATCTTGAGTGTCCACACACAACCCTGTATGCGGCCTGGTGAATATTTAAGTGACCTATCTAGAGCAAGGACTTCTACAGCACACAGTAGGCAACTGCAGAGCGAAACAGAAGACCTGTCTGTGTGACAATTATACGTCTGTCCCTATATGTGTAATCCACCCTCTCAGCCTGATAAACAAAAGCCTGTGTGTGGGTTTTGAACAGAAGGTGGCCACCACCCTCTGAGCTGAGTGTTTATCTTCAAACACTTCACCACACCTCTAAAGCAGGTAAGTCTTGGTCTTTGCATTGTAATATTGCTCATGACTCCAGTCTTTGAGTTTCATTCTGCCTTTTTAAGCTCCCTTCTGGGGCTTAATCAGAACAATATTTCCATTTTCCTTTCAGTTTGTTTCTATTTTTCACAGTTTTTTGTTTTAGTTCTTTTAATGTCGGTTACTCACTAATGAATTACATTACATTTGTCTTTTCTGTTTTAGTGGTGCTTCCCTTTCTTTTTTCTTACTGCATGCTTGATGAAACAAGCCCTATAGCTTATATTTGCTTATTTCAAGTAATTTACAGAGATGAAAGAAAAAAACATCTAAAACCAGTACCAAATAAAGCAAAAGCTGATGCCCATACCCTTGCGCATTTTTATAATCAGTGACTTTCCTCCAACCACCATAGAAATGTCAGGGGCATCCTGTATAAATTCATGTCTCCTTCAGCTGCTGTTTTCTGTTGATTCTAATTTTTTGTGGAAACTTCTGAATGAGCAGCATGGTGCCTTCATCATGTTTGAATTTTCAGCTATAGGTGCAAGAGGTTTCTTTTTGTAGCAAGTGTTTTGCAGTAGAACACTCTTAAATAAGAGCTTTCCTTTCTCTGTACCTTTTAGAGGTAAATGCAAATGAATTCAGGATGATATTTTATTTTCATAGAATCAGAGAATGGGTTGGGTTGGAAGTGATTTCAATTTCATCTTCATTTGCCGTTCATCTTCAGGGGCCTGCTTTGCAGGAGGGCTGGACTCAATTATCTCTGGAAGTCCGTTCCAACCCCTACAGTTGTGATTCTGTGATCTAGTTCCAGTCCCCAGTCTTATTGCTATTTTTTAATAACATAGCCTTTTCACATGCACATGGTAGGACGGATCAGCAGAAGACTCATTTTCTCTGCACTGTTGACAATGCCCATCCTCAGCTAGTTCTCGTCCCTTCTCCATGTCATGACTTTGGCTCCTATGCCACGTTGCTGACTCTGGGTTTTTGCCCCACAGCTCTCCTGCTCCTGCCATGTCCACTCCACTGGAGGATGCCATGAACACCTTCATCAGGATTTTTCATCACTACTCTGGCAAAGAAGGTGACAGATACAAGCTGAGCAAAAGAGAGCTCAAGGAACTCCTCACCAGGGAGCTCACTGACTTCCTTTCTGTAAGATGCAGCTCCTGAGTCTCTGAGTTTCTGTTTCTCAGGTGGGATAAGCATCTATCAAAGTGTTCAGGAACGGCATCTCCTTACACTGCGCACATCGTGCCACAGCCTCTCAGATGACAGTTGTCTTTGAGAGATGGAGAGAGGGAGATGAGATCAAATATCCCATTTGAAAAGTGGAAAGTTGAAAAGGCAGAATATGTCCTTCAAAGAATCAATTCCAGCAACTAGCTCTCAGCAGACAAGAAAGCAGTTTGCATACCATGGTCATGTAGTGTGGGATCCAAGGTCTCTCATATTCCTAGAGGCTTATAACTGCATCACAGACAGCTGTTACACACATTTGTGGGAAACTGCAAACAATACAGCTGCTTGTCTGCCCTGCAGAGAGATTCTAAGAAAACCTCCCAGTGATCAGCCTTTCATATGAATTTCTTTACACATTTGTTATGTTCTTCATTATGCAACACTGATGCTTTATGGAATGATAATTTGATTCATAACTGTTTTTTTCTGAATCCTCTGAACTGTAAGCATTGTTCTGAGACCCATTACCGTCAGCAGGATTTTTTCATACCCTTATACCTCCATTTCCTTGAATAGGATTTTCTTTTAGTCTTAGCTACTGATTTACTATTATGAGATTGGCTGCCCTTACTTTCACTGAGTAGGATGTGCTCTTTGTTAAGTAGAAACCTTCTGAATGTGATCAGTGGAGGTATAATACAACTACTTATGAACATGTTTTTTTTAGGAATGATGTAGAGAAATACACATTGCAGATCAGACTTGTCAAAATAAATCAGTGCTCAGTAGCTCCTCAAATCTGTTTGATCCATTTCTGTACCCATTTAGTACCTGTACTTCTCCTAAGAGCTGCACAGTCTCCAGTTTCTGTTACTGTGCATCTCTGGGACTCCAGATCTGTGTTTTTAATGTTACGCTTCATGGTATGTTAGTATTCAGGTGCATAATTCCCTCACTCTTTTATTTCATAGCACCTGGGCTGTGACGTACCATCTGGTTTGCTGTAATTATGCACTCAAGATCTACACAGCTAAGTCAGTTTTGTTTGTTTCTTTGTTTCTTTGTTTTTGTTTTTTTCTTATTTTTTCTTTTCAGGGCCAAAACGATCCTCATCTTGTTGATAAGATTATGAACGATCTGGATTCCAATAAAGACAATGAAGTGGATTTTAATGAATTTATGACTCTGGTTGCAACTCTGACTGTGGCTTGTAACGATTTCTTTGAAGAACAGCTAGAAGAAGGATTTTAATGATGCTGTATAAAATCGGTCTTCTGGTCACAAATGCAATGAACCATGACTAGTTAGGTAGTGGACATTAGCATTTGGTGAACACAAACCATCATCACTCCAATTGCTACAGCTGCAAAACTCTTGTGGACCAGATCAGCAGCTGGTGTGAGCTGGACCAAAGGCAGCTTACACTACCTGAAGTCTGGCTGTTAGTATTTTCAGCCTTTGCACTGTTGTAATACACCTTTGTCAGTTCCCCAGTCCAGGCCCGGGGTGGCAGATTGTTTGGCAGGAGTTAAGATTTCTATTTCATAACTGTCAGTGTGATATAAAAGGAACATTAATGTTACTTACATTGCTTCTGAACTGGAAAATCTGGAATGAGTTGTAAAACTTGCAATTGAATTTTCAGTCATTCTGTAACAATATCTTTCTCCAGGTCACGAAACTTGTTTGTTTCTTAAGCACTTCTACTCATTCTAATCCAACTGTTGGATGCTGCTCTGTACTCCCTGCTCTCCTGTGTTTCAGACATGGCCACAACTGCCTTTATCCACCCAAGCAGATGGCACTGTGTGCCACAGTAATGGGTTTGTTTTCCCCACTTCCCCAGCTTCCATTCCATTGTGTGGGCATTACTGCACCTCAGCAGTCCAGCTCTTCATTCAGCACAAATTAATTTGTTCATCTGATAAATTATTCAAATGCATAGGGGATTTAGTCAGCGAGCTGCTCTAAATGTTGATGGAAGAGCCAGGTCTTCAGAGGAAAGGTAAATGCCTTCACTATTCTGGCACCCATAAGAGAAAGATTTTGTGAAGGATATCATGATGAGATCCCAGGGTACAGCTTCATCATGTGAGTCATCTGATGGAACAATGATTTCATCTCATGCAGATCCAAATCCCTGCATAAATGTGGCACAGGAGGAGGCAGTGGGACCCTCTGACCAGGCATGGACGGAGAAGGACAATCCATTTCAATGCTAATCTGTGCATGGACTGAAATACATCTATGTCTAAACTTTTGCTTAAACATGCTTCCAAATGTCTGCAGTCCTCAGTGGCAGGTTGTCATGCTTTTGCTTTGCATGGAGAGCTTTCTTTGTTCTTGTTTTGTTATTAGTTCAAACTGTAATAAAAGGTGTTTGAGTTAAGTCAGGATGTTCTATTTGTAAGTGATAAGAATAACTCTCAATGAAGATGTGCCCTACTAGGCAACATCCCCAGGTCCCTGGACATTATTCAGTAAAGACTGTAATAGTTGTATAGAATTACATATTGTAACGTGATGCAATTTGTTATGAGAAAAGGATTCTGTTACGTGTAGCAAATATACAAACAGGTAGAAATCATCTCCAGAAATAGGCCACCAGCAGATGGTGTTATCCTGGAAAGAAAAAGTTTGGCAGAGCCAGATCACATTGTCTCTTTAACTCACCAGTGATGGTGATAAGGGTTCATGAGAGATCTTACACAGAAATGCTGGAAAAGTGTACTAGACTGAAAGCAGTCATGCAACATTTTGCCCCCTCTGATGCCGAGCACTTTAGTATCACTGCAGTTCTTGGACCAGGGAGGCAGAAGGATCAGCCTTTATGGTCTTCCATGGGCTTCCTGCAGGCTGCTCCTGGTCTCCCAGTTTCCCTTTCCACTATGGGTAGAGAAGGGACAGCAGTCTAAAACTTCAACCCAAGGCTACAAGGAGACGCATTTTCTCAGAGAGGGCTCTGAGCAAGAGCTCTTTTGGAAAGAAGCTCCAGCTAATCCGTAAACAACCTGCCTACCCCTGGTGGGATCAAGGATGCTCAGCAGCTCATGCACTGAGCAGAGTTCTGAAAAATCACAGCTGCTGGTGGCACACTGCTGAGGTCAGGCAGGGGGATGTTCCACAGAGCCACCTCCTCAGCTGTGCAAATTGGAACCAAGTGCAGCCTGCTTCCTCTGCAGAAAGGGCTTGCACTTCTCTTTACCCCTCTCCAATAGGGGCTCATTCCTCTGCCATTCCTCCTCCAGCCATACCAATCACTGATGCATTTGCAGACAGCACTTCCATTAGAGATACATGAAATCTTTCTCTTCTGGGGAAGATCACCTGGAAGTATTGAACCACCTTAGAACCGGAAACAAGGCAATGAGCAATCCTCTTTTTTGCAAGGAAGACTGCATTCAGCCACCTATACTGGACCTGCAGTATGGTGTTTGCACTGCCAGCCTTGAAAAGCTGCTTTACCCTGCAGATGTGCTTTTAACTGCTCTTTAAAGAAGAGCTATCTTCTGTAAATATGAAGCCATTATTTTTTTCTTATTGTTTACAGACACTTTTTTTTGCTGACTTCAAGCTTGCATCCAGGAGCCCCCTTAAAGCACTACTTGAAGTGGAGACTTGTTGTGTGACTTCCTCCAAAGTTCCTCAGCTTTAGGAAAGATGTCTTATTCTGGGCATTTTTTCATTTGTGTTATCAAACTCTCTGAAAAATCAATAGAAAAATGAACACTGCAGTATGGCCTGGTCTTTTCAAGTAACATTAAAGACCAATAAAAATTCAGCAATGCCAGACATGATCTTTTCAAGCTATTGTGAAATTGTTTTGCCTGACACCCAAAAAGCTGATTTTGAGAAGATAAATTGCATTACCTTGAAAGCCTCAGCCATTGCCATTTCCTTTTATATAAGTTCAAAGAATACTTGAAGCGGCGCTGAAACTTGGTGCATAAAGTTTGAGGAAGCATTGGTTAAGTAAGCGTATACAACATCTTTGAATCTTGTATCCTGTTGCTGATCTTGAAGCACCGCTTGTGACACCACTGGGATGAGGAGTGGTCCCTCCAGGCTCTAACTTACCAGCCAGATCAACAGGAAGGCAACTCCTTCACTTTTTAGCTCTAGAAGGTATCCAGCCCAATGGGCTAATCATACCAAATCATAGAATGGATTGGGTTAGATGGGACCTCAAAGATTATCTAGTTTAAAGCCCCACCATAGGCAAGGTTGCTACCCACCAGCTCAGGCTGCCCAGGGCCCCATCTAACCTGGCCTTGAATGCCTCCAGAGATGGGGCATCCACAGCTTCTCTGGGAAGTCTGTGCCAGTGCCTCGCTGCCCTCTGAGTAAAAGGTTTCTTCCTAACATGTAAGCTAAATCTCCCTTCTTTTAATTTAAAAACATTCTCCATTGTCCTGTCACTAGCAGACCATGTAAAAAGTCAGTTCCTCTTCTGCTTGTGCCTTAGCATTTCTTCCAGGAGGATCTGCTCCATGATGTTCCCATGCACAGACACGAAGCTTACCAGAGTGCATTTCCCTGGGTCTTCCTTTCTCTCTTTCCTATATATAGGAGTGATGTTTCTCATTTTCCAGTCACTGGGGAATTCCCATGATAGACTTCTCAGATATTATGTAGAGTGTCTTGGAGACCACATTAGCCAGTTCCTTCAGAGCCCTGGGGTGCCTTCTCCACTCTTACCTCCGTTTAGAAGTTCAGGAATATGAGAGGTGTAGGAATCCTGTCTCCTACTGAAGGCATAGGCAAAAACTAATTAAGTACCTCACCCTTTTCCATGTCTGAGGATGCCAGTTCTCCATTTTCATTTATTAGAGAGAGTACATTCTCCTTTGCCTGTCTCTTCTACCCATTGTATACAAATAACCCCTTCTTGTTGTTTTTCACATCCCTCACATCTGCATCCTGACTTACCTGATCCCATCTCTGTGCATCCAGACAGCATCCCTATTTTCTTCCCAGGCCACCGTCCCCACTTCCACTGCTTATACTTTTCCCTTTTTTTCCCCTCAGCCTGATTAACATGCCCTTGCTCATCCATGCTGGCTTCCGGCCTTGTCTGCACAATTTCTTATTCTGGGGGATGGAGAGCTCTTGTGCTCTCAGAAAGGTGTCCTTGAAGAACTGCCAACTCTGTTCTGTTGTAACTAAGACAGTTTCCCAGTAAATCTCATCCATTAATTTCTTAAACAGCCTGGAGTTAACTCTCATGAAGTTCAGGGTCCTGACTCCATTCCTTACCAGACTCATTCCTTGAGATGATAAACTCAGCCAGGATGTGGTTACTACAATCAAAACTGCCTCCAGCCTTAACCTCTTTTCAGGCTCTACATCAGACACCACCAAGTCCTGTAGCGTTTCACCTTTGGTTGCACTGTCCAATACCTGAACCAGAAAGCTTTCATCAGTCGACTCCAGAAGTCTCCTGGATCACTTTCAGCCCCTCATGTTGTTTCCCCAGTACATATCTGAATGGTTGAAATCCCTCAACAAGATGAGAGCCTGCAAGTGCAATGCCCCCTGTAGCAAGAAGGCCTCACCTTACAGACTCTCTTTGATCAGGCAGCCTATTGTAGATCCCAGGCACCAGATGTCCTTTTTTGGCCCAGTCCCTAATCTTAATCCATAGGCTGTGACTCTTTCTCAGAATCAGCTCCTCACAGTCTACCCTTCTTCTTAACATAGAGGGCAACTCCCCTACCCCTTCTACCTTGTCTGCCCCTTCTATAAAGCTTACAGACCTCAACGGTGGTATTCCAATTATGAGAGTCAAAGAATCAAAGAATCATAGAATCATAGGATCGTAGAACTGCCTGGGTTGAAAAGGACCACAATGATCATGTAGTTTCAACCCCCCTGCTATGTGCAGGGTCACCAACCACCAGACCAGGCTGCCCAGAGCCACATGCAGCCTGGCCTTGAATCCCTCCAGGGATGGGGCATCCACAACCTCCTTGGGCAACTTGTTCCAGTGCATCACTATTTCCACCTAATATTTAACCTAAACCTCCCCTGTCTCATTTTAAGACCATTCCCCCTTGTCCTATCACTATCCACCCTTGTAAACAGCCGTTTCTGCTCATAAAGGTGAGAAAAAGAAAAGCAGCCTAGGATTATGAGAATGGAGGATGACGTGCACAGCTCTTCAGACTGGGAAATCCAGATGGGGCTGCCTTTCATATTCTGGTGCGTAACTTCTCGTTCTTGGTAGCCTTACTCATAGGCTAGCAAACTCA